TGCGGAGCAGCGGGAGGTCAGGCCACTCGCAGAGGGCTCTGCTGTGTTCGCAGCGCTTGTTCTCCTTGGGTTTGCCTTGTTTTCAGGATACTTTACTTCCAGTGCATGCGGACGGATGGATGGGAGCGGGGCTTTTGGGACAGCGGTGGGTCTGGGGTCCCGCGGGGATTGAGCTGCTGTGGGGTGGAGATGTTCGGGGAGCTGAGGTTGTTCACCTGCCCGCTCTGTCTCGGAGGTGGGCTCGCTGTGCCCGTGGCTGTCCTGTGATGGTGCTTATCGCTTCCTCACGGTCCGCAGAGCGTGAGGCTCCGGCAGCCGCGGGGACGTGGCCCCGTGCCCCAGGCCCACCCTGCTCTGGCATCCTGCTCGCTGGGTTCCAGCCTGGAGAGCTCCCTGCGCCTCAGGTGTGGGACCGGCTCTGTCCCAGCGCCGTCCCGCCGCCTCTGGGAATGGCTCTGTAGGGAAAAGCTCCGTGGGGATTCGGCTGGGAGCTGGCAGAGATCAGCTGGGAGCTCCCCAGGGGAGCGAGGGGGTCCCTGCTCTGCGACTTTTATTTGCAGGTGGATTTTAGAGCCGGGATAAAGGAACGGGATTGCTGTTACATTGTAAGTGGGGAAACATCCTGCAACATAGCCCAGCCTTTGCTGGAGTCAGGCTCATCAACTCTGTAGCTTTAGACAGTGTCTGCTTTGAAATGAGGGCTCCATCCCTTTGATGAGGTGCCCTATGAAACCCACAGCCAAGGTATTATGTCCTAAAACTACCATGAGATCATCTTTGGACAAACAAACCCAAGCTGTGGCAGGTGACTCTTTACTCTGAAATTGAAATAATGTGTCTCCTCTGTGCATTGGGGATTCTACCACGTTCTGTTCCTTGTCTTAAAACACCTCTGGTTTTTGCTCAGTACCTTTGAAATCTGCTTATGTGAGATCGGTATGGAAGAGGATGGAAAACAGCATCCACTGGAAGGGTCTCTTGCTCAGTTTAAAGCTTGTTTCACATCATGGAACTGTCAAGTGGGACTTTCCAGGTGTTGCCGCGCTGGCATCCAGCAGTCTGAATAGACAGGGATGGACACAAAGAGAGCACAGCACATGCCAGAGAACTCTCTCTTCATGCAAATGGGCTGCCAGATCACACACTGGGCTGTAGAGACCTGTCTTTCAGGCTTTCCTGTGCTGATGTCCTGCTTATCTGTGGTATTTCCTTGTCACCCTGGGTGGAAGAAGGCACATACCAGGCTCCGGGTGCCCAGCACAGGCTGTGAGCAGGGGCTCAGCCCTTGTTGCCACAAGCAGCTGTTTGTCAGTGGACTTTGCCCACAGCCCCAGCTGGTGCTCACCTGGTGACAGGCAGTGCGTGGGCAGGGCTGGGCTGCCTGCTCTGACCTGGTAATGCTCCTGAGCTCACTCCACGTAATTGACCAGTCCTTAATAAAGAGCACTGCTGATTGCTGGAGGTTTTAATTTTGCAGTTGGCCTGCCCTGTCCTCCCCCAAACCCACACAAAGGGAGCTTTGGCTCGGTGAGGACGTGCAGGATGGGTGGCGGCCGTGGCTGACAGCTGGTGGGCTTGGGGCAGGTAGGAGGTTGTCTGATGGGACAACCTGTTGTGTGGAGAAGGATTGAGGCTCTCCCAGCTCTAATGATGCTTTGTGTCCCTGCCTGCCCTCCCCCTGTGCCCAAATGTCCCCATGGGCTGCCAGAAACGAGTGTGCCAAGAGTGTGTGGAGTGTGCTGGGGGTACAGACACGCTGATGAAAGCCTGCTCCTTTCCATAGCCACAGTGAGGGAAATGTCCCTGGGCTCGCAGGGATCACAGCCAGCTCTTGTCCACAGTACCCACGCACTGTGCTGGCGTTTCAGCCAGGCAGATTTGGTTTGAAAAGCCCCTTTTGTGGTCTCTGCTTCTTTCTGGGTGGAGAGCAGTGTGACCCCAGTTCTGCCCAGGGGCTGTGCTCTCTTGGCTGCCCTGCTCAAGGCTCACTTTTCCCTGTGGCCTTTCCTGGCTCTGTGCATGGAGGTGCTGCCAGCTCTGTCCCCCGGGGCAGCCCCTGCGGCAAGGTCAGAGCCACGCTCTTCCTCCCGGAGCAGATCCTCCAGCTGCCTCGTGTGGCTGGAATTTCTGGCTTTCCTGTCTCCTCCTTTCCCTGCCGGGCTCGCAGGATGCCCGCAGGCTCTGCCTTGGGAAGTTGCCAAGGAGTTTAAGCCATGATTACCGTTCCTGTCTCCCGGCCCCACCGTGGGTGCAGCGTCCTCCTTTGGGGCATGAATGAATTGTAATTCCTGCTAGGATTAGATTCCTCCCGGCAGGAACTGCATCCCAAGGCTCTGCTCCTGCCCAAGGATTGTTTTCCTCTTTCTTAGCTGTCTTTCTTACGCACAGTTGTGTATAACAGCTCTGTGTTTGCAGCACGACCTTGTGCAGCTTTGAGGGAAGGCCAGGTTAACTCACCCTCACTGCTATTCTGTGCTAGAAATGAGGAATCTGCCTCTGAAAGGTGCCACAGCTTCTCCCCACTCTTGGGATTCCAAAGTAGGAAAGGAGCATCAAGAAGATGCTCCATCATCTCCATAGACACATGAAGACATAACCTTCTACCCTCTTGGTGAGTGTTACAAACTTTGGTTTTGGATGGCCTTGGCTCTGCTGTCTCTGTGCCATTTATCCCTTTCTCAGCTGATGTTCAGAGCCCTGAGCTGCAGTCTGGCTGGTTTGGTAATGTACATTTCACTGGGGGTGATCTGTAGGTGTATGGCAGAGGGATGGAGGATCTGGTTCGTCCTGATGGCACTTTGGCTGAGTAGCTGTTGTCCTCTTGTTGTCCCCTTTCATCCTGCCCTGGGGCTGCTCTCACTGTCCCAGCAGCCTTTCTCCCAGCTAGGAAAATCACCAGGCTTTAGAAGGTATGTCTGAAAGAGTTACACTCGCAGCACATGAATTTGCATGGTGTTGTGTGTCACAGGAAGGCAGCACCTTGTGTCCTGAGCTGGGTTAATGGATAACCACAGAATGCTTTGGGGTGGAAGGGACATTTACATGGGCAGGGACACATCTTCCACCAGACCAGGCTGCTCTGAGCTCCATCCAACCTGGCCTTGGACACTTCCATGGATGGGGCAGCCACAGCTTTTCTGGGCAACCTGTGCCTCCTCACCCTCACAGGGAAGAGTTCCCTCCTATCATCCAATCTAAATCTCCCCTCCTTTAGTTTAAAATCATCCCCCATCCTTTCACTCTCTGCCCACATAAAACATCTGCCTCTGTGCCCAGCAGGAGACAAGGGCACAGCTCTTGCCTCTTGGCACCATGAGCTGCTGCTGGGGCAGAGGGCACCCTGTGCTGCCTGCACCCATCTGCTCTGTGCCGTGCCCAGGGCTCCTGCTGCCTGTTCCATCACCTTTCCTCCTGCCATCAGCCTTTCCTCCTGACCTATTCCTCCCCCTTGGTGTCTCTGGTGATCTCTTATCTTCAGGGCACGTTTCTCAGGATGAAGTTTAGGCATCTGTTAGTGCTGTCTGGTTCAGGGTGATTGTTTCATAGTAGGCACGTGGGTGGTTCTGGCTGGAGGTGCACGGATCACCACGTATCTAATGGGACTGGAATGAGAAATCAGGGACACAGAGTGCACTGTTCCAAGAAACATTAAACCTCCTGTGAGCTTCTGTGGGTGGATAAAGCCCTGCAGGCTGCCCCAGCAGCTCCCCCACCAACTGCTGTGCTCTCTCCCTCGCAGACTCCCTGTATGTGTCCGAGTACTTCTCTCAGAGTGCACAGAAGCTCTCCTTCTACAGCTGGTATGGCAACGCCAAGCTCTTCCACTTCCACGTGCCCGAGGACACCGTGCTGCTGCGCTGGCTCCTGCAGGCATCCCGGGGAAAGGGCCCTGAGTGCACCAGCATGGAGATCACTGTGTATGTATGTCCTGTGTCCCCATGCCAGGGCTTGTCCTGTGGGCTTCTTGTCCCCTCGTCCTGGTCACTCGTGGTGGGGCTGGTTGGTTGTGGAGGCTGGGCAGTTCCTCAGCTGCAGGAGCTGTGGTTTCTTCATGCAGCAGCAGTGAGTCTGTGTTTAAACCTGTAGGAGTGTTTGGTGTTCATGTTACCAGCGGCTCTGGGGTGGTGTGGTGTCCAAGAGAGCCCTTAGGACATTAGAGAGCTGCACAGTGGGGCAGGTGTGCTGCTCAGAGCTGTTCCTGGCCTGGCAGAACCTGCACATGGTGCCAAACAATGTGGCAGGGCTACGAGCAGACCCAGAGTGGCTGGAGATGGGCAAACTGCCCAGTGCAGAAGAACTGAGGAGATTTGGGGGCCCTTTGTGAGGGACGCGGCCGAGCATGGAGCAGAGATAGGAGAGGAATGTGGTGTCGTGTGATACAGGAGCATGAAGAGATTGCAAACTCAATGTCAGTGAAAGAAACGCTGCTTTTAAAACAGTGCTTGACTTGTTGAAGGATTTGAGGTCCAAAACTTGGCAGATTTTGAGCTTTACCTTTGGAGGACACCGAGCTTCCTCGGCAAGCTGTGCCCATGGAGTCACACGGGTCTGTGGCACCCATTCCACAGAGATCTGGGAGTGACTGAAGCTGCCTGGCTTGTGCCTCCCTGGTCTGTCCTGGGGAAACTGGCACTCTTAGTTGCTCCTGAGCAGCCTGGCACAGATGATCTGCCTGCTTTCTGCTTTCCAGAAAGGTTTCCAGCAGTCTGGGGACGTGAGGGACAAGGCAGCAGCTAAACAATAATCCAAGAAACGATGGCTAACCCAGATAAGCTCCAAGGAGTAATAACATATCACCTGTCATGTCTGCTTGCTGGACCTGTTGCAGTGCAGTCCAAAAGCAATCAAATTAAATGCCAAATTGACTGGGTAAATATCTCCCACGTTCCTCAGCCGTGTGTGTTTCTGCTACTTCAAATGCTGGGCTTATCTAGAAAGCAGAAGTGCTGCTGTACTGAAGTCTGTAATAGGGGCATTCCTTGGAAAGTGTCTTTTTAGTCTGTCTGTTTGCCTTCCTTAAAAGAGGAAATGGGAAGATGCAGATCTTAGCAAGAAAATTAAAATTCTTTGTAGATGATTTTCCCTATATGGGGAATTTGCTGATGGTTTTAAAGCAGAATTCTGTGGGTGGGGCTTACCCTTACCAAGTGTTGGAAATTTGCTCCCAGGCTTGACGGAACCGTGTAAATCTTAATAAGCTGCCAAGTTAAACCAATCTCTAAATAAATCCCAGATAAGCTAACAGCAGCCAGTCCTCCCCAGATGAAAATGATGACTCCACTTGAAAATGTGGGGTTTTCCAGCCTGCTCCCTTTCCAGTTTGTGTCCCAGTTGATCTTGCCTGGTTTCTCTCGCAGGCACTTTCGGCACGGAGCCCCTCCCGTCATTAACCCTTTGGGCACCCGCTTTCCTGCCAACGCCACCGTCCGTCCCTCCTACAACATCAGCATCACCCTGAGCAGTGCTGTGCAGAACACCACCTTTGTCAACGTCACCACCCCTGCTGCTGGGGACTGGTTCATCGCCGCCCACCTGCCCCAGGCCGCGGGCAGGATCGAGGTCAAGGTGAGGCTCCTGCCCAGTGCCCTGCCCCTCGTGTCTCATCACAACCACAGCTGACCCCTGTGCTCTCCCCTCCTGCAGGGCTTCTCCACTCCATGCCCCTATATGTTCCAGGCAGATATGTTTGTGCTCAGACTCACTGATATGCCTGTCCTGGAGCCTGGTGTGCCCATGCCTCACACCGTTGTCTCGCCTGCTAAGCCACTGCATGTCAAGTGAGTGGGAGCAAAGGGTGGGCAACTGAGGGCATGGCAGGGTGGGATTCCCCACACGAGCTGCTGAGGGGAAGGCAGTGTTTTTCCCACGTGGGGCTGGAGCTGGGGGGGTCAGTGAGCCTGTTGCTGAGCTCCCTGCAGCAGTGCTAGGGTCTGCACGGGGAGCACACGAGCACCTTTCTCCAGCTCTTCCCAGGTGGTCACAGATTCAACTGCAGGAGTTTTAGTTCTTCCAGATGTTTGCCTTGGGAAGGATTTTCACAGCACCAACCAGGGCAGTCTAGCTGTTGTCACAAAGCCCTGGGGACCTGGCTTGTGTTGAGTACAAGCCCTGCAAGCTGCTGCTCCCTCCCCTGCAGGGTCTTCGTTCCCAAGCACGCGGCAGCGATGCGGTTCCAGCTGAGCAGCTGCGTCACCAGCGAGCAGAGAGCCTGCACTGTGAGGGTGCTGCTGGGCTCCATCACCCTGCCCCAGTCCTTCCAGAGGAGCCTCACCTGCACGGGGAGCACCAACTGCAGCCTGGCCCTGGAGTCGCCCCCCTGGGAGAAGTGGCTGCAGATCATGGTGGAGAGTCTGGGCACTGCCAACGCCAGCGTGTCGGTGGAGATGCTGGCTTCTTTCACAGGTGGGATTCCATGTTCTTCGGGCATAAGAGAAGGCCCAGAGGGAGCTCTGTGTGTGCTGTGTCCCCCTTGGGTGTTTGGGTGCCTGGCTGTGGCAGCCTATGCTCCCCATCATGCTGGTTGCCTCCTCTTGGATGCCATAGTTTTTGCTTTGGGGTTAAAATTGAAAACTCTGGTGTTCACCCCAGAGAGGCATTTGCTAGACCTGCCTGTTTGGAAACACCTGAAAAGTTCATTGTTATTGTCCTAAAGGTTGTTTGGGAAGCAGTGGCTGGCTTAAAATTTGGTGGGGAAAAGATTTTTCTGTGGTACACCAGACTAAGGCTGTATTGACTACGAATTGGCCAAGAGCAGGCTACAGGCAGGAAACCACCTTGGGGTTGACTTGGGGAAGTGTCTGGAGCTGTTGTAAGGGGGTGTCACCATTTCCAGTGACACCATGTGGCTCAGGTGGTCACAAGGTCCCTGTGGCTGTGATAGGCACATTTGCAGCTATTACATGACCATAATCCCTGTTTGACTGCAGGAAGCTCACCAATTAGGTACATTTTTACAGTTTTCTTCTGCTGGGGCTTCTGCCACCTCCTCTTTGAAGCAGAGCCTCATCCTGTGTGCTGGAAGACCTGGCACTGGCAGCAGAGGTGTTATCAGAGGGTGGTACTGGAGCCTCTGGGAGCAGTGGACAGTCTCCAGCAGTGGAACTCCAAGTGTCCCGTGCAGCTCCATCTGCCACAGTGTGCCCATAGCTCCACTGGGTTGGCTTCTCCCTCCTGCTCAGCTTTGTTTGCCCACATATGGGAAGTTGGGAGAGACTTTTGTGCAGCCTGTGGGACAGCTGAGTGCTGAGCTCTGCTGTGGTGATTGAGCACTCCCTGGACACCTTGATGGTGCTGTGCTATCCCTTCTTCTGTTCCCTCTTGCCTGCAGCTCCAGGGTGCTTCCACCCACTGTACCACTGCAGTGTCCCAGCTTGTGGGTCCTCCTCCTGCAAAGATGGCACCTCGGGGACAGTTCATTCAGGGCATGAACCACTGAAACC